CCTAATTACTATTTTAAGACTTAAAATAAATTCCTATAAGCAAAATGACCAAATAAAGTGACAGGACTTTTTTTTAAACTCTTCATTTACATCACCAGCCAGAAAGGCTAAGAAAATGTTTTACAAAGCTTTTTTTCCTTCTGTATCAAATTTGTCTGAAATAACAGAAAAGATAAATGATTACCAAATTATACCATCTTCAGACCAAAATTTTTTCTGGAATTGTTATAAGACAGAAAGTAGATGAGAGCAAAATGACAATTAAGGGTAAGAAAAACCACACCCCAAAACATACACAAAACAGGTCCTACCATTTTCTACTGTAGAAATATTAGCTCCCCCCCCCCGACCTCCCGCAAGGAACTAAACTCAAGAGGAACACCAAGCTCAGGAAACTTTCCTCAGAAAAGATGACTATGAATCAGGGCAAATAATTACAGGGCTGTCTTCAGAAAAACAAAGCTAGCAAGTCGCCTATGTACATATACCTGAGCAGTTCACTCACAGAATTACATGTTTATTATACGGTTTATTCCAGGGAAGCTATGGTTTATAATGTGTTCTCTAAAAATAAGTATCTATTTGCCCAGGGTTAGTAGTTCTCTTATTCTGTACTGGTTCCAAAGAGGAGGAGGAGGAAGCAGCCAAAGGTAACAAACGTCTCTATAAATTGGTAGTCTTGAGAGTATGAGTGTGTGTTGAAGAGGACCTGAGAGGGCTATTAGAGACCGATTCTAGTTTTGGACTTGCAGAAAGTGAAGAGAACAGATAGAGAATTTTTTTTAAGGGGAAATGTGCCTTAAAAAGCCTCAAAGAGGATTTTTAAAAATAACAAACTACATCTAGGAAATAATAGAAACCACCAGCTTGAATATTAAAATATACTGACTATATCTGCATACCCCCGCATTCATTTTCTCCTTCTTCTTCCCCCTACTACACATTAATCAAGCTGCTGACTACTTATCAATGGCCAGATCATCTACACAACACTAAACAAAGCACATGTTTTCAAGGACTTAATCCTTAAGATTATCCTTCTCTTCTCTTACTAGATTACTCTCACCAGCTACTTTGCTAACACAGTCTAGTTGCCACATGCCCTCCCTTCTAAAAAAGAAAACACATATCCAAGATGAATGCCCCTGATTCATTACCTTCATATCCAAAATTTTTATAAGTGGCCAGGCACAGTGGCTCACATCTGGAATCTCAACACTTTGGGAGGTTGAGGTGGGAGGATGGCTGGAGCCCAGGAGTTCAAAAATAGCCTGGGTAACAAAGCAAGACCTCTGTCTCTACAAAAAAAATACAAAAATTAGCTAGGCATGGTGGCATACACCTCTAGTTCAAGCTACTCAGGAGGCTGAGGTAGGAGAATCATTTGAGCCCAGGAGCTTGGGGCTGCAGTGAACCCTGTCTCACATAAATAATAAAAAAAAAAAAAAAAACAATTTATAAAAGAAAAATAAAGCTATAGTCATAGTCTAACAGTGTTAACAGATTTATTGTTTAACAACCACTAAGTAGCAAGTACATACAGCCCCATATGTAAACCTAATTTTCAAGTCTAGGTCTCTCTGTACATGCTCTAAAATTAGCATGTCCTCCAACTACATAAAGGTGCAGCAATAAAAAAGTAGCAGATTGTATAGAATTCTACAGGCATACCTCGTTTTATTACACTTCGTTTATTGTGCTTCACAGATATTTACGTTCTTTACAAATTGAAAGTTCATAGCAACCCCGCGTAGAGCAAGTCTATTGGTGCCATTTTTCCAACAGCCGTGTGCTCACTTAATGGCTCTGTATCACATTTTGGCAAATCAATATTCCAAACACTTTCATTATTACTGTATCTGTTATGATGACCTGTCATCACCAATCTTTGACGTTACTAATGTAATTGCTTTGGGGAATCATTAACTGTGCCCATATAAGACAGTTAATTGATAAATGTTGTGTGTGTTCTGACTACTCCACCAACAGGCTGTTCCCTGGTCTCTCTCCCTCTCCTTGGGCTTCCCTATTCACTAAGCCACAACAATATTGAAATTACGCATATTTAATAACCCTACAATGGCCTCTTAGTGTACAACTGAAAGAAAGGGTTACACAATTCTCACTTTCAATCCAAAGTTAGAAACCATTAAGCTTAGTGAGAAAGGCACTTAGAGAGCTGAGACAGACCAAAAGCTAGTCCTCTTGTGCCAAACAGCCAAGTTATGAACACAAAGGAAACATTCTTGAAGGAAATTTGAAGTGCTACTCCACTGAACACACAAAAGACAAGAAAATAAAAACAACCTTACTGCTGATATGGACATGGTCTGAGTGGTCTGGATAAAAGATCAAACCAGCCACAACATTCCCTCCCTTAAGCCAAAGACCACTCCAGAGAAAGGCCCTAACTCTTTCCTGGGTTCTATGAAGGCCAAGAGAAGTGAGGACACTGCAGAAGAAAAGTGTGATGCTAGCAGAGGCTGGTTCATGAGGTTTAAGGAAAGAAGCTATCTCCATAACATAAAAGTGCAAGGTGAAGCGGCAAGTGCTGATGGAGAAGTGTAGCAAATTATCCAGAAGGTCTAGCTAAGATTATTGATGAAGGCAGTTACACTAAACAACAGACTTTCAATCTCCATGAAACAGCCTTCTATTGAGGAAGATGCCATGTTGGACTTTCATAGACAGGAGAGAGTTATCAACATTTGGCTTCAAATTTGCAAAGGACAGGCTGACTCTCTTGTTAGGAGCTAATCCAGGTGATGCCTTTAAGTTGAAGCAATTGCTCATTTACCATTCAGAAAATCCTAGGGACCTCAAGATTTATGCTAAATCTACTGTCTGGGCTCTATAAATAGAAAAACAAAGTCTGGATGACAGCACATCTGTTCACAGCACAGCTGACTGAATATTTTCAGCCCACTGTTGAGAACTATTGCTCAGAAAAAAGGATTCCTTTCAAAATATCATTGCTCACTGACAATGCACCTGGTCATTCAAGAGCTCTGATGGAGATGTATAAGAAAATTAAAGTTGGGCCGGGCGCGGTGGCTCAAGCCTGTAATCCCAGCACTTTGGGAGGCCGAGGCGGGTGGATCACGAGGTCAAGAGATCGAGACCATCCTGGTCAACATAGTGAAACCCCGTCTCTACTAAAACCGCAAAAAATTAGCTGGGCATGGTGGCGCATGCCTGTAATCCCAGCTACTCAGGAGGCTGAGGCAGGAGAATTGCCTGAACCCAGGAGGCGGAGGATGCGGTGAGCTGAGATCGCGCCATCGCACTCCAGCCTGGGTAACAAGAGCGAAACTCTGTCTCAAAAAAAAAAAAAAAAAAGAAAAAAGAAAATTAAAGTTGTTTTCATGCCTGCTAACGCAACATCCATTCTGCAGCCTATGCATCAAGGAGTAATTTTTACTTTCAAGTCTTAATTCTTTTTTGAGACCGAGTCTCACTCTGTCACCCAGGCTGAAGTGCAGTGGTGCGATCTCAGCTCACCGCAACCTGCCCCCCCAACCCCACCCCCCAGGTTTTAGCGATCCTCCTGCCACAGCCTCCCGAGTAGCTAGGACTACAGGCATGCACCACTGCACCCAGCCGATTTTTGTATTTTTGATAGAGACGGGGTTTTGCCTTGTTAGCCAGGCTGGTCTCAACTCTTGACCTCAGGTGATCCACCCACCTAGGACTCCCAAAGAGCTGGGATTAAGTCATGAGCCACAAGCCTCAAGTCTTATTAAAGTAATATATTTTGTAAGGCTATATAGCTGCCATAGTGATTCCTCTCATGGATCTAGGCAAAGTAAATTAAAAGCCTTCTGGAAGAGTCATCATTCTCGATGCTATCAAGAACATTCAAGGTCAAAATATCGACATTAACTGGAGTTTGGAAGAAGCTGATTCCCAGCCCCATAGATGACTTTGAGGGGTTCAAGAAGTCAATGGAGGAAGTAACTGCAGATGTGCTGGAAACAGCAAAAGAAACAGAAGTGGAGTCTGAGTGGATAAGAAACTGCTTCTTATAGATGAGCAAAGAAAGTCGTTTCTTTAAAAAAAAACAAAAAAAAGAGAAAGTGAGTCTCACTCTGTCATCCTGGCTTAAGTGCAGTGATGTGACCCCACCTCACCGTAGCCTCGACCTCCCAGATTCAAGTGATCCTTCCACTTCAGCCTCCAGGGTAGGTCCATGCCACCACACCCAGCTAATTTTTTTTTAAGATAATGGGGTCTCCAGGCTGGTCTCGAACTCGTGGGCTCAAGTAATCCTCCTGCCTTGGCCTTCCAAAATGCTGGAATTACAGGCGTGAACTACTTTGCCTGGCCAAAAGGAGTTTCTTGAGATGGAATCTACTCCTGATAAAGGTGCTATGAACATTGTGGAAATGATAACAATGAATTGAGAATATTATGTAAATTTAGTTAACAGAGTAGTGGCAGAGTTTGAGAGGACTGACTCCAGTTTTCAAAGAAATTCTACCGTAAGTAAAATGTTTTCAAACAGCATCACATGCTACAGAGAAACCTTTCATGAAAGAAAGGAGTCCACTGATAGGCAAAGTCCAATGTTTTCTTATTTTAACAAACCGCCACAGCCACCCCAACCTGCAGGAACCACCATCCTGATCATTCGGCAGACATCAAAACTGATGCAAGACCATCCACCAGCAAAAAGATTACAACTTGTTGAAAGCTCAGTTGGCTGTTAGCACTTTTTAGCAAGAAAGCATTTTTTAACTAAAGTATGACATTTTTTAGACATAATGCTACTGCACACTTACAGTGTAAACATAACTTTTATATGTAATAGGAAACAAAAAATTGGTTTTATTACAATATTTGCAATAAATTGCAGTGGTCTAAAACCAAACTTGCGATATCTCCCAGGTATGCCTCTATTTTTTGTACAATAGTTTCCTTTAAATAAGTTTCCATTTTTAATTAAAGATAAAATATCTAATGGAGTATTAAGTAATTATTAACACCCATTACCCTGTTGGACTGAAACCATTTTGCTAAGTCCTAACCAATGTCACATAATCTGAAAACCCATGAGGTGCCATCCATCACTTCCTTCCCCTTTTACAGATTAGACAAGATGCCAGCAATGTTTATGTATAATCTGTTAAAGATAACGCAGCTGTATATAATAGAGCTGAGGTGAGAAATAAGCCTATATTTCAAACCTCACACAATATGCCTCAGACTAAAATTGCATTTTCATTAGGAAAACATTCACTTGACCTAACACAAAAGTCGCATAATAAGCCTATATTTCAAACCTCACACAATATGCCTCAGACTAAAATTGCATTTTCATTAGGAAAACATTCACTTGACCTAACACAAAAGTCGCATGATAAAACATCAACACGAACAACTAACAATCCTTCACTTTAGCCCTGAAACTATCTGCCAGGTGTTTTGCCCTCTAAACACACTTGTTGAAAACAAGCGTAACACCTCCATCCACTCCACATCAAAATGTTTACTATCATCAAAACGTTAAAATGTTCCTGGTTATAATAATAATTTTCTTTTAATGTGGATTTTTCCTTTGGTATCGGAGGGATGGGGTTTTGGGGTGCTTTTAACTTCCTAAGTGAGTAATGGTCTGAGTTGGCAGCCCGGTACCATAAAAAAGGGCAAATCTTAGGGACTGACTACTTTTGAGTTATTTATCTCACTCATTTCTTAAAGGAAAAATATTTCAAGTAAATTTTAAAAACTGGTGTTATCCAAGGCTCATCTGTGATCATCTCTCTGTATTACTTACCTTTATCTGTAAGTTACCAGATAACACGGCTACTTACAGATCAGATTTTCATTCAAGTATTTTTGGACTAAAATGGAAATGTTTCAGGATAAAGAAAATGCTGAGTTTTTGTTACCTTTCCAAAGTATCCATCAATGTACAAATATCTGTATCAAAGTAACTTACTTTCTACTATGGGAAGGCCTTTCAAGGGCAAGGATTTTCACAAGGCAGAACAAAACTGTACTGCACATATAGGTGGTTTTCACTTTTACTGAATAGCCAAATTATTGATGATTTAGATGGAGTTATGACATTTTTCCATTTCCATCTTCTCCACTTTTCTTTCTCACTGTTTAGTATGTTCACGCACTTAGAATTTCTTAGGATAGTACTCTTGATAAAGCACAAATAATTACAATCCAACACATGTATAAATCAAACAATAATGGACAAGAAAAAAATTACCTTTTGGATAATCTTCCAATAAGAGGTTGAAGTGACCTAATTGACAAAAGAAATCAGACTCCACTTTTCCTTCAGCTTTTAAGATTAGAGATTCATAGCAGCGAACAGCCTAGAAATAAGAAAAACACAAATATGTAAGCAAAAAATAAAGCCCTAAAATACATTTCCTCCCCGAGATAATGCATATAGCCTCTATTCGATCACCTAAGTCCGTATTGAAAATTTCACTTCTATCTCAGACATATTCAATACAGCATTCTACAGAAGGAACAGCTTCCCCATGTATTTATTAAAAGAGCCACTCATTATGGTGTAAGTGCTTTTCCCATTTATACATGAAAACAATACTTGCCAAATAAGATAATGTAGGAGCATTTTGACCATTTTATTCTTAAGTTGCAAGTCTAAATTACTACTGTGGTCCCCACTGATATAAACAAAACTGCTCTCAAATATCAATAATATGCATCTTTGGGAAGAACTTTATTGAATTATTTGAGATCTCATAGAATCTCTAGAGTAATAAAAATACCTACAATTTACACTGAACTGCTTTTACTGACTTTTTGCCGGAACCTCTACCAGTTTTATTTTGCTGTTGTTGTTGTTGTTTTTTTTTTTGAGACGGAGTTTCCCTCTTGTTGCCCAGGCTGGAGTGCAATGGCGCGATCTCGGCTCACTGCAACCTCTGCCTCCTGGGTTCAGGCAATTCTCCTGCCTCAGCCTCCCGAGTAGCTGGGACTACAGGCACGCACCATCATGCCCAGCTAATTTTTGTATTTTTAGTAGAGACGGGGTTTCACCTTGTTGACCAGGATGGTCTTGATCTCTTGACCTCGTGATCCACCCGCCTCGGCCTCCCAAAGTGCTGGGATTATAGGCGTGAGCCACCGCGCCCGGCCTCTACCAGTTTTAAACTACCATATACTGCCTTTCAATGTCTTCACATGATATACTTCAAACACATTAACTTCATTTCTCATCTTACTTCCAACTCCAATACATGCATGTGCTCCCACTCTCACATTTCCTTCCCCAAAGAAAAAAATAACATTATTTTAACAATATCAATTCGTTTTTATAACACAGGAGGACTGCAGGACAAAATGAACAATGAAAAGAACATAGCTCTAGAGTCTGACCAAATTCCACTTGTCATTTGCTACAGGAGATCCTGTGGAATTTATCCTTTCTATTTTAATAACACTCAAAGAGCTGATAAAAGGAATAAAACTAGAAAACTTCTCTAAGGCTTTATCTCAATGTTCGGCACACAATAGGTACTTAGGTGTTTCTTTTCCTTCGGGGGTAATAACAAAGCTCTAATTCTCTCAAGGTTCCCAATAATTTTGTCAAAATTTCCCCCATTAACAACTAAATACTCCATAACACTGCTCTGTTAATAATGTGTCCTGGAGTCAACGAAGTAAGAAACGTGTGTGAATTCTCAAATCTCTGATATACTCCCAGGAACACTTGCAAGTTTGGTACCCACAAAGAAAGAAACTTGGCTAGTTTCTATTACAGTAAAAAACTCTTTCACTACCATTTCAAGAGCTTTGTTGAGATAAGAAAATGTGATGTGGGCCAGAGTACTCACTTTGAATGCCTTCATTTTTCCTCTCCTGTGAAATACAGAGTTTTTAATATAGAGTTTCAAAATGTATATCCTAACATTTACCTATCCTAAGCACATAAATAAATGTTCAACAAGTTTGGATAATCCATTCTAAACAAGTTGAATTCTAGGCTTAGTCTATTATCCTTAAAGCCTAAGGATTTCTAAAAGAACTTCTCTTCAGTTTCTATTCCACTCTTAGCTATATGTACCAAATCACAATCACTGAAAGCTAATCATTCTGCTTCCCTATAGTGTGAATGCTACACTTTAGTCTCAGAAATTACTATAATCTGAAGGTATGAAATTTCAAAATCCTCTTTGTCATATATAATTCTTATCTAGCAGATGGATAGAGTATAAAAATACAATTTATTACAGTGCTTTTATAATGTCAAAGAAATTTTTAACATTATTGGGATACATTACAATTCTTAATTTTACATTAAATGACTTTCCAAAGCTAACAAGAATATTGTAAATAAAGTTCTCATTATAATAATGAGCATCTTTTTTTTTTTTTTTTAAACTCTTAGGCTATTTATAAACTTTTCCTAGTCCTCTGATAGCTTCACATGGCTGATTAACATTAAATTTACAGGCAAATATGTTTTCATGGTAAAAAGGATTCAAGATACAAACACGAATTTTCTTTAATGATGTAAACAAAAAAGATGCCAATATCCTCTACTTCCTCTTATCACCCTTGATGCCACTGCCTTGATCATCAACTCCCTATCTTTTACTTCTCATAAACTAAGGAACACACCTAAAATTAATATTATACATAATGCTGATCATCATGAAATATAAAATCAGGTAAAAACTGGAATGGTTGATTTCAAATTCAGGTACCCATATACTCAGGCTTGATTAACAAATTGTTAATAATTTCCCCATAAACCCGCCGTGCACCTACAAAACTAACATGGGTGGTCAACGATGCTGACAGAGCCAAATATCAAACCAGATGAAAATGAGCAAAAGGGCAGAAGAAAGTTGCCAAGCACACTGTGTTACCACTTCATAGTGAAACTTCATGAATTAATTTGAAGTATCTGAGGTAATTCTGATATCAGATACAACCAAATATCTAACACACTTTTTAAAGAACATTTAAAGGAAAATAAACAACTTGAGATAATTTCCAACGCTCCTAATTCATACAATAATCTAGAATAAAACACAGAACTTTTATATTTTGACTCAAAAGGCTAACGATAACATAGAAGATATATAATTATTGTTTAGATTCAGAACATTCAGATAAACTTCCATAAAGCTAAAATATTTCCAGTCAATAGAATTATTTTTATTTCTTGCTTTTTTAAATTTTAAGTGTACACACGTAAAATCATCCCTGTACAGTATGTTTGGACACAAACTGCAGAGAAGAAGGACTGCAATATAAAACAGGTGCTAAGAATAGAAAGTCTATCTAGGGGGCATGTTCTCAGGATCTTCTGAGGGCTGTGTCACAGAGAAAAAAAAAAAAAAAAAAAACACGGTCTATATAGTTGGTTGACACAGAATCTTCTTTGTATTTTGTTCATTTTACTTTTCTGTATTTTTGAGATTTTTTTCATAATTAACCTATATCATTTCTATTCTTATAAAAATCATTAAAGAATTATTATGCTTTCCCCCTAGGACTCATCCTATACCTTTAGTGTAAGGACAGTCAGAAATTTGAAAGAAAATCATTTGTGGTTGCATCAGCAATCAACAGAACAATTTCTGCAATGATAAAAATATCCTATGATCTGTGCTGTCCAATACAGTAGTCATTAGACATATGTGGCTACTGAGCACTTTGAAACATGGCTAGTGCAAATAGACAACTGAATTTTTAAATAGTTTCATTTTAATATTTAAATGAACATGTGGCCAATGGCTACCACACTGGACAGTACAGACCTAGATAATTCTTAAAGCCTAAAAACAACTTTATATTCAATCCATATACTAAATATCAGGAAAGCAAAATTTCTTATGTTTATAAATGAAAAGCCTATAAAAATAATAAAATATCTTGCAGCAAGGAGGATAAAAGCAATATCCTCCACAAAAATCATTGTTACGTCCTCTAATTGTTTATAGCTGGTGGCTTGCACATCTATAATCCTTACCATCTAATAGAAAAAAACATTGAAAAGAAAAATAAACATTAATCAGTGAATACTAAAATGAGAGTAAACTAAGATCCTCCTAGCTAGGTAGAAAGCTTGGGTGTATTTTTTATTTCCATCATAGTGCCATATTCCACAACATTCAATATAGCCTGTGCTTGGTATCTGTTGTACTGTTATTATTTTAAAAATCTGCTATCCCAGAAAAGTAACATTACCATTACCCTGTATTTCTAAACATTGACACACACATAGACATGTAACTAATTTAATTTAATGTGCAGTATTAATCTTTTATAATGAACTTGGTCAGTGCCTTGTTAAAATAGGATGCTGTCAATATTTTAGAATTGTTAAATATATGCAACCTTTAAACTTTTCTTTTCTTTTTTTTTTTTTTTCAATTTAAAAGATTAACTGCAGTAGTTGGGTGACTACCAATGGTAGAAAAAATACAACCTTTTAGGTTGAATATAATAAAAACAAATATGCAGTCCTGCCCATAATTTTTATTTTTATTTTTTGAGATGGAGTTTCCCTCTTGTTATCCAGGCTGGAGTGCAATGGTGTGGTCTCTGCTCACTGCAACCTCTGTCTCCCAGGTTCAAGCAATTCTCCTGCCTCAGCCTCCCAAGTAGCTGGGATTAGAGGTGCCCACCACCATGCCCAGATCATTTTTGTATTTTTAGTAGAGACGAGGTTTCACCATATTGGCCAGGCGATTCTCAAACTCAGTGGCCTCAGGTGATCTGCCCGCCTCAGCCTCCCAAAGGGTTGGGATTACAGGCGTGAGCCACCATGCCTGTCCCTGCCCATCGTTTTTGAAAGCCAACCATACATGTAACACAATGGTTGAGCATCCAGCATCTAGCAGACTCCTCAAAATAGATTAAGGGATTTAAGCAGACAACAGGTCAATGTATCGTCCACATAAAATATGGCTATTTGGCTAGACACAATGGCTCACGCCTATAATCCCTGCACTTTGGAAGGCCAAGACAGGAGGATTCCTTGAGCCCATGAGTTCGAGACCAGCCTGGGCAACATATGGAGGCCTCATCTCTGCAAAAATTTAAAAAAAAATAGCCAGGCATGGTGGCACATGCCTATGATCCCGGCTACATGGGAAGCTGAGGTGGGAGGATGGCTTGGGCCTGGGAGGTTGAGGCTGCAGTGAGCCATGATTGCGCCACTGCACTCCAACCTGGGCAACAGAGCAAGACCCTGTCAAAGGAAAAGGAAGAGGA